AAATCCCAGAACACTTGATCGTGCTAATGCCAAACCTATCCTTGGACCAAGAAGCAGTCATCAGAACAGAGCAAGAAAACACTGCATGGTTCAAAATTGGGAAGGGCGTACACCAGGGATGTGTCCTGTCTCCATACCTTTTCAACCTGTATGCAGAACAGATTATCCAGGAGGCTGGCCTCTGTGGGGAGAAATGTGGGGTCAGGATTGGTAGAAGATCTATCAACAATCTGCATTATGCAGATGACACAACCCTGCTTGCTGAAACTGAGGAGGACCTAAAGAGCTTGTTGAAGAGGGTCAAGGACTGCAGCCTTCAATATGCATTGAGGCTCAATGTCCAGACGACAAAGATTCTCACCACTGGACCAATTGGCAGCATCAGGATGGATGGTGAAGGGATTGAGATTGTTCACAGCTTTAGTTTGCTTGGCTCTACAGTCAACACTCTTGACACTAGTAGCCAGGAAATTAAAACACGTATTGTGATGGGAAAGTCTGCTGTTAGGGACCTTTCCAAAGTTCTGAAGAGCAATGGTGCCTCTCTGGCGACTAAGGTGCATCTGATACATGTCATGGTCTTTGTAATCACTTGTTATGCATCAGAGAGTTGGACAATGACTAGGGAGGACAGAAGGAGAATTGATGACTTTGAGCTGTGGTGTTGGAGAAGAATGTTGAGGGTACCATGGACTGCTAGGAAAACAAACAGATTCATCCTGGGAAGGGTTAAACCGGGCAGCTCCTTGGAGGCAAGGATTCTGAGGCTTCATCTAACATACTCTGGACATGTTGTAAGGAGAGACTGGTCCTTGGAGAGGGATATTGTGCTTGGGACAGTGGAGGGACAGCATAGGAGAGGAAGGCCCTCTATGAGGTGGATTGATTCAGTGACTGGGGTAATCGGGATGGGTATGTCGGAGATAGTGCGATTGGCAGAGGACAGAGCAGAGTTTGAGGCTGTTGTACATAGGGTCGCTATGAGTCTCAAATGACTCAACAGCACATAACAACAACAACATTTGGTGCATAGATGTATATTATGGTTATGTCCTCTTGTTCTATTGACCCCTTAAGCATTATATAATGACCTTCCTTGTTCTTTGTTATGGTTTTTGTGTTGAAATTTATTTTATCAGAGATTATATCACTATTCCTGCTTTTTATCTGTTGCCATTTGCTTGGTATATTTTTTTCACACCCTTCTAGTTTTAGTCTTTCTTTTTCTTCACTTTTCAGGTGTGTTTCTTGTAGACAGCATATTAATGGGTTTTGGTTTCTTTATCCAGTCTGCTTCTCCTTTTCTCTTAGTGGTCCATTTAAATCATTCACATTCAGTATAATTATTGAGAGGCAAGAGTTTACTTGCTATTTTTTGTTCAGTTCTTTTTGGTGTTGTTGCTGGTTACATTGGACTATCCTTCATTCTGTGACATCTCTGTAGGAAGGACTTCTCTCAGTGTTTCCTGCAACTCTGATCTTGTTTGTACAAACTCCCTTAGGTTCTGCTTTCTGAGAATATCTTGATCTCTCCTTCATATTTGATAGACAGTTTTTCTGGGTACAATATTCTTGGTTGACAGCTGTATTCTTTGAGTGTTTGATATATGTCATCCCACTGTCTTCTTGCTCGCATGGTTTCTGCTGAGAGATAGGCCCTTAATCGTATTTGTTTTCCTTTATAGGTTATTCTTCGTTTCTCCCTAGCTGCTTTCAGAATTCTGTTCTTATTTTGGTTCTGGAAAATTTGACTATAATATGCCTTGGTGTTTTTATTTTGGGATCTGTTCTACATAGTGTTTATTCAGCTTCTTAAATATATATTCTCTCATTCTTCCTTATACCTGGAAAGTTTTCTTCTGGTAATTCTTTCAAGAAGCACTAAATCATGGGGAAATTCAAACTAAAGTTAAAGAAAATTAAATCAAATCCACAAGAACCAAAATTTGACCCTGAATCTTTCTCACATAAAGTTAAAAATCACCTCAAGAACAAGTTTGAGGCCTTGGACACTAATGAATGAAGGCTAGATGAGCTTTGGGAAGATACCAAGAATACCATTCATGAAGAAACTAAAAGGTCATTAGAAAGACATAGGAGGAATAGACCAAGGCGGATGTCAGTAGAGACTCTTATACTGCACGAGAATTCTGAGAAGCCAAAGCTAGGAGAAGGAATCAGGACATTAGTGAGATACATAGAAGATTTCAAAGGGCAGTTCAGGAAGATAAAGAAAAATGTTATAATGAAATGTGAAAAGAGCTGGAGTCAGAAAACCAAAAGGGCTGAATCTGCTTGGCATTTAAGCTGAAGGAACTAAAGAACAAATTCAAGCCTGGGGTTGCAATACTTAAGGATGCTATCAGCAGAATATTGAAAGATCCAAGAAGGATTAAAAGAAGTGACTTTTAATTTCAAGAAAGGAGTATACAGAAAAGAATTGGCTGACACAGAAGGATTTCACGAGACTGCATATGATCAAGAGGCAATGATAATGAAGGAGGAAGTTCAAGCTGCTCTGAAGGAACTGGTAAAAAAACAAGGGCCCAGAAATTGACAGAATACCAGCTGACATATTTCAAAAGAAAATGCTGCCCTGGACATGCTTGTTAAGTTGTGCCTAAAAATCTGGAGAACAACTAACTACCTGGCCAACTGATTGGAAGAGATCCATATTTGTTTCCATTCAAAAAAAGGGTGACCCAATAGAGAGTGGAAATTATCCAATAATATCACTAATATCACATGCAAGAAAAATCCTGCTGAAGATTCTAAAAAATTACTGGAACAGAGAACTACCATAAATACAAGCCAGGTTTAAAAGAGATCATGGTACCAGAAACATTATCACCAATGTCAGAAGGATCCTGACTGAAAGTAAAGAATGCCAGAAAAATGTCTATCTGTGTTTCATTGAGTACGCAAAGGTATTTGACTGTGTAGATCACATAAAATTGTGGCTAACCTTGAGAAGAATGGGAATCCCAGAACACATGATTGTGTTCATGTAAAACCTATACTCAGACCAGGAAGCAGTCCTCAGAACAGAGCAAGAAAACAAAATCAGGAAAGGAGTGTGTCAGGGATGCATTCTGTCTCTGTACCTTTTCAATCTATATGGTGGAACAGATCATTTGGGAGGCTAGACTTTATGAGGAGGAATGTGGCATCAGGAGTAGAGGAAAGTTCATCAACAACCTACATTATGCAGATAATACCACCTTGCTTGCCAAAACTGAGGAAGACCTGAAGTGTTTGCTGTGGAAGGTCAATGACTGTGTCTGCAATATGGACTGAAACTCAACAATATGAAGACAAAGATTTTCTGTCCTGGGCCAATTGGCAGCACCATGATAGATGGAGAAAAGATTGAGGTTGTTAACAATTTCAGCTTATTCAGATCTACAATCACTCTCTTGGAACCAGCAGTCAAGAAGTCAAAAGACAAATTTCTCTGGGGAAAGCTACTTGTCAGGGTTCTCTCCAAAGACCTAAAGAGCAATAATGTCAGTCTGGAGACTAGGATGCACCTGATTCATACCATAATCTTCATAATTATTTGCTATGCATCAGAGAGCTGGACAATGACTAAGGATGATAAAAGAAGAATGGATGCCTTTGAGTTGTGGTGCTGAAGAAGAGTCTTGATCATACCATGGATCAGCAAGAAGAAATAAAAAAAGGTCTGTCTTGAAGAGGGTAATACAAGTTTGGGTATGTGGCCAGGAGGGACTGATCCTTGGAAAAGGACATCATGCTCAGAAGGATGGAGAGACAGTATAGGAGAGGAAGATCCCGGATGAGATGGATTGATACAGTAACTAGGATAATAGGGGTAGATATACTGGAATCAATGAGACAGGCTCAGGACAGGGCAGGCTTCAGAGCTACTGTACATAGGGTCGTTATGAGTCACAGGTGATTTGATGGCAAATAACAACAACAACAATTTATAGGTGAGCCTCCAGTGGGTTCTCAGAGGCAATAAATTGCTCAGGAGGAAACTGCCAGTCTCACTTTCACAAAGTAGCAGATGGATTCATACCACACACCCTTGGGTTGGCAGCACAACTCCTTATCACTAAGACACTAACACTCCCTGCTTTCAGAAACAGTGATTAGTAGGAAGTATTTTAAAACGTCTACAAGGAACAAATTCATTCCTATGAATCTCTGGCTGGTTATATATGATCATTTTAAAAATCTAGCTTGATTAAAAGTATTGTGAGCTCAGAACACCATATGCTCCTCTGCTAGTTTGTCACAGGGGCCACATTCAACATGATGGCGATCCTGGTCTTCAGATGACATGGCTCCTCCTGCATGCCTCTGTTCCATTACTGAGCTTGGAAAGCAGACTCTCATATACCCATGGTAGGGCCCTAGCCCAGGCCACTCTTAGACCACCAGTCCTTACAGCCATTTCCTACTGAGCAAAGTGAGTAAGAATACAGGGCCAATTGGAATCACTTCTGTCTGACTTCATTCTGGAATGTGTGACTTATTTATAATCAGAAGCGGCTTTTCCTGGGAAAGGTCTGATTCCTTCTTGCCACCAAAATGGAATGTGGCACTTCAACTGGACTAGGCAGGTATTTGTTTTTCTTTGAAGAGAACGACTTAGAAAACATACTGATCCTCAAGGTTGACTGCCTCCCAAAGCTTACGCCTGGCGTGGCCAGGGGCCTAGGAGTGCTAAGAATGGTGGTATTCATGAAGTCCTGCAGCATTGCTGTCATGGCTTAGCTGGAAGCTCAATCAGCTGAAAGGACCATGCCCTCTCACTGCCCTGATCCGCGCAGCCCCATACCTGTGGAGTGGCAGAGGTAACCAAAACGCTAGCCATCAGACCATTCCTCTTGTACATAGTCTCCGGGCCACAGGGAGCTTCAGGGCAGCCTCTGCTGGTGACATAACCTGTCTGGAGAAGTCCTGCAAAGCAAAGGGGCTCATGAAAGAAAGTTTTCAAAACCAACTTAAATCTCATCTCCCCTAGGAAAGAGCTGTGGTGGCCTTGAGCAGATCACCCCACAGAAAATTAAAGAAAAGGTTAAAAATTAATTGCTCTCATTATAGCCTTCAATATGGCCCACAGATGGACTCATACAGAGTTTAATATTTTTTTTAAATCAACTCTCAACCTTTAAAAATGGAAATATTTCACACAGAATTCTGGATTTCAGGCTTATCTCAAAAAGTAAAATACAGAGGTAGTTCTTGAGAAGAATCTGACTGCTTTCCCAGGTCTGAAATAAAGTACTTTGGGTATTAAAAAAATATATTTATAAAAAATAAAATACCTGGCAATACTTGGTCCACATTCCTACCTGATAACTATCAACTGGGTTGAAAGATGCCTGCCCCTTTCTATAAGAGCAAGCACCTTAGGCCCACTTGGACTATGGGACCATTTCAGTACTTGTCCAGCCCTTAGATGTACTAGAGTTTGTGATCTTTTTTTTTAATTTTTATTTTATTATTATTTGTGTGTACCGTCAAATCGGATCTGACTGGTACAGGAGGAGATTTTCCCTCCTTCTCCAGCAGAGCACCTGGTGGATCCGAACCATGTATCTCTGGGATTGCAGTGGAGCTTCTTGCCACTAGGCCACCAGAGCTCCCTGTGATCTTTATTTTAAAGGGAGAGTAGGTAAGAAAGACACACTGATTCTACTGTGTTTCCCTTATCATTTCATCATAGTAACAGCCATATGTTAAATCACCATATTCCACTTGCTTTGAATACATTAGTTCATCATAACTCTAGAGCACTTCTGAAATCAGTCTTGTTATTATTCACGTTGAGGGATAGGAAATAACTCGTGCTTTGTTATCTATGCTCATCATATCATACTTCAAGACCCTGTTCAAATGCCACTTCTTCTAGAATTCTACCAGGTATACCCAAATGCAATCAGTTGCTTGTCACAAGCAACTGTACAAGACTTTACTAAAGCAGCTATAACATGACTGAACACAGAACTGTAGCCTAGGATAACTTAGCAAGAAAGTGACCACGAGAACAGAGCTAGTAACAGGAAAGGGATCATGAAAGCAAGCATACCAGTTGGAAGGAAATTGCAATAATACAAGCAAGAGAGAGAAGAAGGATCCTCTGAGCTAATGTTGCAACAATCAAATCAGAGAGAAGACATATTGAGAGAGTATAAGGACAGAGATTCAACAGAAATCGATCAGAGATGAGAGACAAGAACAAGTTGGGTATAACTTAGCAGGATCATGTGTCCATCATTGAGAGAAGCAGGAATTATGGTAGATTTGTGGAGAGGGGAAAATATAAATTTAATTCAGAATGTCAATGAGAAAATCAAGTCTGTAAAGCAAGATCTAACCCAAAGAGTCACTGACAAAGATAGCATGGTGGCATATATAAGAAAGAATAGAGTTTCCATCCAACCTCTCAGCCAACAAACCTAATCTAATCACAAAGCAGTGTTCTGTCAAAGAAACAAGAACTCAGTAAACAAAATGGTCAAATTAACCCAGGCTCTTTCTTTGCATGCTTTCAAAACTAACAAAGGCTGTTTCTTTACTCCTTACAGCCACTCCCATTTCTCCTAATAAACTTCTCCCTCCATTAACTCTTTCCTACTTTCTCCTCCAAAACACTCAAAAGAAATTGTTGTGTGTTCCATCAAGTCAGGACTAACTCATAGCTGTCCCTTCAGTGGGTTTTCAGAGGCGGCAAATTAGGGAATTATGGTCACCTATTGGTTAAGATTCTCACCAATGGACCAACTGGCAGCGTCAGGATGGATGGCGAAATTGAGATTGTTCACAGCTTCAGTTTGCTCGGCTCCACAGTCAACACTCTTGGCACCAACAGTAAGGAAATCAAAAAGCGTATCGCGATGGGAAAGTCTGCTGTTAGGGACCTCTCTAAGGTACTCAGGAGCAACAGTGTCTCTCTGGAGACTAAGGTGCGCCTGATACAGGCCATGATCTTTGCAATCACTTGTTATGCATCAGAGACTTGGACAATGACTAGGGAGGGCAGAAGGAGAGTTGATGCCTTTGAGCTGTGGTGCTGGAGAAGAGTACTGAATGTACAATGGACTGCCAGGAAAACAAACAGATTCATCTTGGAGAGGATTAAACCAAGCTACTCCTTGGAGGCAAGGATTCTGAGGCTTCGTCTGACATACTTTGGACATGTTGCCAGGAGGGACGGGTCCTTGGAGAGGGACATCATGCTTGGGAGGGTGGAGGGACAGTGCAGGAGGGGAAGACCCTCTATGAGATGGATTGCTTCGGTGACTGGGGTAATCGGGATGGGTGTGTCAGAGGCAGTGCGGTTGGCACAGGATAGAGCAGGGTTTAGGGCTGTTGTGCATAGGGTCGCTATGAGTCGCAAGCGACTCGACGGCACATAACAACAACAAACAATTGGTTAAGAAGCTGCACTGCAAACCCAAAAGCATGTGGTTCAAATGTGCCAGCTGCTCTGCAGGAAAAAAAATGAGCAATCTCCTTTCAAGTAATTAACTGCCTCTGAACACCTACCAGATAGTCAGCTATGGGTCGGTTCAGACTTGATGGTACACAACAATGACAAATTGTCTGGAAGTTGATTGGCCATCTTTCTCACTTTGAGCAGCTGGAAGATTCAAACTAAATACCTTTGAGTTGGTAGCACAATTCCTTATGACTAGGCCACGAGAGCTACCTCAAAAGTAGTAGACTGGGCTATATCTGATAGTGTCAGGGGGGTATACTTGATTAAAATTAAGCATTACTGAGTTATTGTTCATTTTCTTAGGTGTGATAACAATCTTGTGGTTAAAGAGAAAAGGGCCTTTATCCATAGGCAATATATGCAAATAATTTTAGGTATAAACTAAGCTTACAACTTACTTTTTAAAAAAAAAAAAAGAAAGTGAAACAAAGCATTTATTACCAGCTCTCAGGCAAAATTCTGTAGTCCCAAGCCAGAGGGAGGCAGTGGGAATGGGAAGTCACAAATGAGGAAATCTTAGGCAAATTTTTATAAGCAGGGGCTGGGGGTAGGGTGGTCAGCTTGATGATCGGTTCTCCACAGAGGGTGCTGATTGGGTTCCAAAATAATGGAGTGACTCGGTCCTTTTAGGTGGACTGTATCATTGCTGACAGTTAAGCAGGATGTGGCCAGTGCTCATGCTCTTTTCTGACCATAGCCATCTTACTTCAGGCTGACTGGAAGGTCTCCTAGAAGGTACAGTCATGGTGGAATGTTGCCCAGCTCCCAGGTGGCCCTTTCTTTTAAGTGGTGCTCTTAACACAAAAGGGTAAAGTAAGTTTCCATACCACCCAGAGAGGTGACGGAGGGATTCTTCTGTGTCTGGAGTCACAGCTTCTTGTTCAGTTAGAAGATATTTTCCTGACTTTTTTGCCTTCTGGACTGCAAAGTGTCTGCCTGGGTGAGTCCAGTGGAGGTGAATGGCTGAAATTTGAGGCTCAATCCCCCTTCACTTCCTTAGCTGGTAGTTATATTTCCCTTTTGTCTCTGCAACTGGGCTCAGGGTTCAGGTCTGCAGCAGGATTCAATGTTATAGGAAAGAGATGTTTTTTGAGAATCTTTGTCCTCTTGATGTTGAGCCTCAGTGCATATTGAAGACCAGCAGTCAACTGTCTGATTGTTTAGGTAAGATAAACTGCGGGCTGTGGAGGGTCATGGTGACCTGTTTCAATGCAGCTTGCTGTGCCTCAAGCTCCTCATGCTGCTTCCCTAAGCTTACAGCTTACTTTTAAATTATTCCATATAAATAGATTTAAAGTAAATAGGGCAAAATTGACAATTACTGGGTCTAGGGGAGAAGATGTAAAGCAGTTCACTGCACTACTCTTCCCCCCTCCCCTTTATCTCTTTCTCTCTAAATGCTTCATAACACTCATAATTTTAAAACCTGGTCAGTTAAGCTAGCTCCTTCTCAGAGAAACAACTGAGCGAGAGAAGTTAAAATCCTCATTCATATAACAAAATTTAACAGAACAGCAAATATCAAATGCTGGCGAGGTTGCAGAGAAACTGGAACCCTTATTCACTGTTGATGGGAGTGTAAAATGGTGCAACCACTTTGGAAAGCTATATGGCGCTTTCTCAAAAAGTTGCAAACAGAGATACAATTTGACCCAGCAATTCCACTACTGGGAATTTACTCTAAAGAAACTATAACTGCCATCCAAGGAGATATATGCACACCCATGTCTATTGCATCTTTGTTTGCAATAGTAAAGAGCTGGAAACAACCCAAATGCCCATCAACAAATGAATGGATAGAGAAGCTCTGGTATATTCACAAAATGGAATACTATGCAGCATTGAAAAACAAGGAACTCATGAAATATTATGCAAAATGAATGACCCTGGAGGACATTATGCTGAGTGAAATATCTCAGTCACAAAAGGACAAATATTGCATAGGGCCACTGTTGTAAAACAGGACTGACACTGGGGTTGAGGGAAGACAAAAAAGGAGGGGAGGAATGATGTATACTGCACTGAAACAGATGAGGGAAAGAATTGTTTCAAAGGGATATATGAATGGGCATTCCTGTCATTACAGAAGTCCAGAGTGAAGGCAGCATAGTGGAGTGGACTTCGGGGGAGAAATTGCATAACAATGAAAGAGTTTTTCTTTTACTTTTCAAGGAGAAGAGTGAATTGGGGGAGAGGGTGGGCCAGGAGAACTTAAATCTCTGTAAATGTTCATTAAAATTAATTTTTTAAAAAATGTTTTTAAATCCTCTTTCATGAGCTAGAAGAAGGAACAGCTGTCCTAGCAAACAAAACCATAGAGGGAATGCAAATCCCATGACTGCTGTACATTTAAAAGCTAGACAACATTCATAATTCTGAGACCTAAATATCTAGATGGTTCCTATCGACCTGACCTCTCTAAAAGGAGTCACAATAGGAAGTAAGATGAGTGGGAGAAAAACTAGAACATAACTCAAAACAATAAAAATGATCAGACTTATTGGTCTCAT